AGACTGAGGAGACGAAGGAGACGGCGGAGACGAGTGTTGCACCGAGCTCATAAGATTGGTCGGTTGTTCGACAAGTTTTGTTTATGGGGAATCGGATGAGGGGAGCAAAATGGGACAGATGAGGACGGAAGGAGGGAATTGCGTGGAAAGATACCAAATGAATCAGCATTACAAAATATATGAGACACAAGATAACCCCTGCAACACCTCTTCTTGCTAGTGCAGTATATCCTCAGTCGTAAGCTTTCTGGAGCTAACTCGGCACGCTATTCGCCCATCTACATCCGCACCACAATGCTCTCATGTACGACAAATCCATTCCGTTCGGCCCCCTCTTGGTATTCACAAGCATTTTCTTTGTAACGTGGGGCAAGCCAATGACCTAGATCCTACTTCTGTCGTTGTCAAGGACCAACCTTTGGAATACCGACTACGGCTCTTTGTGTTCGCGATGTCTCGCCACTTCGACAAGGGTCCATGAAAGTCGCCGACTAGGCAGGCTGGGAACAAGGGCGGGCTGGCTGGCTGGCTGGCATTGCTCTCGAGCAGTATGGCCCAGTTCGGGGAAAAACACCAGACGCGGGTATACATAATACATCTACAAGTAAGTCATCCCCCACAAACCTGACGGCACGACTTGCGTGGGCGCTCAGCCGGGATATGTCTGCGTCTGCGGCCGTGGCCTGGCTGCAGGTCTAGGCCCGCGCGACGGTCGGGGACTTGAGTCGGTGGTTGTGCTGTTATGGCGTTGTTATGGTGGCGGACCCGAGCTACGCCAGGAACCAGGCGGCGGCATTTATCGTCTAGAAAAACCACGGCAAATCACCGACCATCAAGCCTATTTATACGGGATTCTTCGTGTGCGTTCTCCAACTACGTCGTTTCCCGCAAGGGGTCTGCGACCTATTGTTGTTGTTGTTGTTGTTGTTGCTCGCATGATGGTAGACAGTATCGAGTGTAGAGCTGCGTGTGCTATATAGGATCGTCGTCTGGTGTCTGCTCTCTTTTACTTTATGGTCCCAGGGGGGAGCAATCGATAGTGTTGGCCGATTCGCAGACCAACCACCAAACTTGTATGGTCGGCGACGACTTTTGCCGCAAGTGCACAAGTCTTTGGCGGTGACAGTAGGACCAAGGCCGTAGGCGTTTCACAGGCCCAATTAGCAGGGCTTAGTATGGTATACAAGAGAATGGCGCCCGGTAAAAGTCACGAGGCCGCTGGGGAAGAGACCCAAATGCGTCTTTTAGCGTTTTATTATGGTTGTAATAATACTCAAGTGCTAACTCAGTCACGTTTTCGACACCAGCCACCATGAGAGGCAGGGCATGTCATTCACACCATTCTCGCTCTGCGCCACGATGGCCGTCCTGAAAGAGAAAAAGGCAGTCATTGGCGCTTACAGAAAGAAGCTTGGGCAAGCCTGACTGCGCTTAGAGGCTGGCAATGGTCTTCTGGAGAGGGGTGACGACCTGGGGCACAACGGCCTGGAGGTTGACGACGAGGCCCTTGACCTCGGTGGCAACGGGGCTGACTGTGGTGCCGACGAGGCCGAGGGCGAGGTTGGTGACGGGGGTGAGGATAGGCTGAACAAGCTCGAGGACGAGGGCGAGCTCCTCGTGGACGAGGGCGAGGACGGCTAAGTCGAAGGAGAATATTAGCATTGCTCAGGGATGGGTTGGGTGGACAAAGGGTGTACATACCACCGACAAGGTTCTCGACGAGGCCGCGGACAATGGCCTCGATGGAGCCGACGAGGGCGAGGACAGTGCGGAGGAGGTCGCGGACGACGCCGAGCTCGGTGGCGACGAGGGGGACGACCTGGCCGGTGACGACGGGCAGGACAAGGTCAAGGACGCCATGGACCTGGGCGAGGACGTTGGTGACAGTGACCTTGACTAGGGGCACGAGCTGCTCGCCGACGACGACGTTGGTGAGGCTCTGGACGAGGGCGACCTCGCTGTGGACGAGGGGCATGACACCGCCAGCGAAGGTGAGGGTGCTCTGGAGGGTCTTGAGCTGGGTGACGGTGACGACGACGCCATTGACGGAGCCCGAAGTCGAGTTGGTGACACCACCGACGGCACCGGTGACACCACCGACGGCGGGCACGGCGGGCACGGCGGGAACGGCGGGAACGGTGAGGGCGCAGACGGCCGGGAGAGCGGCGAGGGCGTACTTGAAGAACTGCATCTTGATGGTGGGATGGGGAAGAAAGTGGGAAAGACTGTTTGGTAAAGAGTGACAAGAGGTCGGGTGTAGATAGATGGCTTCCAAAGGAGTGACTGTGATGAGCAGAGCTTGATGATGAGAGAGGAATCAGGCCGACGATGAGGGGGACGGCTCTGGAGATATTATACCTGGGTCGACTACGTCTGCATCGGCGTTGGGGTCGGCGTCGATCTAGGGTGGTGTCTGGAAGTGACGATCATGGCTAGGCGGCGGAGAGCCGACGGCCCCTTTCTCGAGGGCATGCTCGACAGCCATGGTGGACAGCGATGGCCGACAGCGATGGCCGACAGCGATAGCGAATGGTGGTGGTGGTGGTGGTGGATGTCGCCGGTGATGGCGATGGACTCGGCGATGGAGTCGGCGAGGTCAGTGCCAGGCACGCCAACGTGGGTGGTGGATGTCGTTGCAAGGGCGGCACTGAAGATCGCAATCAGGACCCCCGGCGTCTTCCCCGCCGAACAGACTCGGCCATGCCTTCTGCCTCTCCACATGGCTGTGTTGCAGCCGGGCCCTTTGCAACCTGACAGGGGCCACCCATCGCATAGCCATCGCCCTGACATCGCCCTGACAGATGCCAGGCGACGCCGGGCAGACGGGCTGTCACTCTTTTGCCCGTCTAGGGAGCACGCTAAGAAGGTCCCCTGTCTTCGCTGTGCATTCCTCATCTCGTCACTCCCCTGCATCCTCACCACGTTGCTGCTATGCCATGCCATGTGTCTGCGTACATAGTCTGCTTTCTAGCCTGACCCATCCCGCTACCGACTAGCTGCATTGTCGTCATGCACGCTGCCATGAGTCTCGCCGCGCCAACACGGACTCGCGCCTGCAGTCATGATACCCGACATTGTGTCACGGCCGTCTGCTGCACAGCGTAGTCAGGAGGTGTCCAAAGTCATGGCACCGTGTTGGCCGCACAGATCGGCAGCACCCGTTGACCTTGGATCCATATCCCTCTGCTTCGTACCCGTACCCGAGCTCCAAGCCTTGATCTACAATGACGATCCCTCTCTTTCTGGCGTAGATGCACACTGACGACAAATAGGGGAAAGTACTGACGTCTCGTGTTATCAACAACCGACCTGGCCTTGAGATTACAGGACGATGAAGATGACATGTCAATCCCTATTGCCCTCGACCGCCTGCCCCCTCAAATCCCCTCATGCACCAGGAAGGGCCTGAGTGATATTGCTCGAAAACCCTCAGCAGCAGCAGCAAAAAAAAAATTGCGTAGCACCTGCATAGCTCTATCATTACATCTCACGCATCACGCTATGTCAATGCGATAACTACACTAAATAACTTGCACTTTGCATAGAAATCAAAACGACGCCAACATTCGGCATCCTAGATGTCCGCGACGAGTGGCGCGGCAACAGTTTGTGTGGCGTAGGGCACCTAGTGTTCTTAGTGACAACAGTCGACAGGACGTGTTGCACCGGTGCCCAGTGCGCGCGGTGGCGTTCGCTCGAGGAGTTTCCGGGGACCCGGGTGGGCTGGCTTTAGTTGCCCGCTCTCTCTCTCCCTCTTTTTGCGTCCGACTCCAAGCTAAAATTTTCACTAGTTATTACTCCGTACAAGCCTGCGAACTAACAGGAAGGTTTGTTGAAAGTGCCGGGGGTAGGCAGGCAGGCAGCCTGGAGGACGAACTCCATCGCGCCGCCAGGGCTAGGCAGAGTAACTTCTGGTCGGCCTTTGAACTCTCTCTGTCATTCTTGCTCATCTCATCGGCATCGACACCAGATGGTGGGACGGCCAGGTTTGTCTGTTGTCACAGTTGCTTTCCATGGTGGGGCTTGGTACCTGCCGGACCTAGGCACACCCACAGGTGTTGAGGTCGGCATCGGGATATTTGCCAGCCACAATCTAGTCTAGGTCGTGAAGCGGAGCATGCTCTAGTGCGGGTCTTGCCATCTCTGGTCTCCAGGAGCCACCAACGGAGTACATACACATCACGTACGCAACGAGAGACAGTCAGGACCCCGGCCAAGAAGCCAAGCACGCCCGCCCTGGTTATTCCTGGGCATGAAGCTGTGCAATCTCTCGGGTCTACCACACGCGGGGGGTCTTTGTTGCGATGGCGGCGAGCAAGAGCCGAATATCTGCAAAGTAATCACGCGAATTGCGGAGAGTAATATCCTCCCGTTGCCTGGGGGGCTCGTTGTCGGTCTGACGTGATCATAGAGAAATGACATCCTTGCATCATGGCAAGATCCAGGTTATTACTCCGCATGAAGAGAGAATGCAATCTGCCTCCTATTCCTCCTATGCCTACCTGCCCGCTTGCGTCCTCGAGTAGCAGTCCTGCTCTTGCTAGGCTTTCGGGACTAGCATCCCCAAGTGGTTTTTGGCTGGTCAAGATTCGCGCCATGGTTTTGCCCGATGGGAGCAGAGAACTGCAGCGTTTGGCAACCGCCAGTCTCAAGAGCTTTTATCTGGGAGTCCTGTAAGTCCTGTAATCTAGCTTGCTTGTCGAGGCATGGTTATTTTGACATGGGGTGGTGCTCCGGTGGAAAGTGGCATTGTTTCGTCTCTTTCGCCTCAGATCGTAAGCGATCCCATGTGCTGTGCCGGCCTCGGCAACACCATGCGTATGCAAAACTCCCAGCCAGACAAGACTCACGCCCGGTCTGATGAAGAGTACCTCAGTTTGCAGTTTTAGGATTATAGTGTCCGCGGGCTGCAGCACATCCAGTAAGCCATGGCAAAGATTCAGTTGTGCACTAGGATCTATGACCATCCAAGGCTCTTCTGATCTTATCGATAACATACGGGCAAGATGGCCGAGCGGTCTAAGGCGCCAGACTCAAGTTTGATAAGAACTTGCCTCTCTCATTGCAAAGAGAGGTCCTTCATTCTGGTCACGAAAGTGGCAGGGGTTCGAATCCCCTTCTTGTCAGCTGTCGTACTTACCACAATATCCGAAGTATTGTGACTTCCTTTTTGGCGGTAGTTGGGAAGGATACCATAGATTGTGATGCTGCTCTTTTATCTTTTGGTGGTTGTCAGTGCCGTAGTGAGGGCAATACCCATACGGCAGCTAGTTGTTCTCACGGTCGATCCGCACTGTTGCTGTCACTGCTAGCACGAGGCTTTGTATGAGCTACGGCTCTAGTACATCATATTAAATAAAGATGCCTTTCACTCTTCGGATCTAGTGTGCCCAAACCACCCGAAAAGTAGTAGGATCTTTCCCAGGCTCGTGCGAGCAAGTGTCTGCCGAAAACCTGTCCAGAATAGGAAGGCACGTCTTACAGACATCCCGGACCCACAGCACCTCCATCCAACCCGGATCAAGGCAGCAATATAACCTCCTACCGCCCTTCATCGACTGGTTGCTACGAAGCGGTCTCGATAATTATCTTATCGGGTAAATCTGCCATCACAATAGTAACCAGCGTGTACCGGCACTAGATATCGCGGACCATGGTCAGAAGGACTACCTCCCCAGGGCCACGACGACAGCCGGTGAATCCGGCAACGTGCTCCCGCTCAGACGAGCTGCCCGCGCGTATCTACTCCCGCAGTCTCGGTCTGACGATCCAGACTCGAGAAAACACCGATATGTCAGCCAACGGCTACGACAGCGACGATGACGACGACGACAGCTCCAAGCCCAGGAAAACATCCATCATCATCGCCGACATCCTGATCCCCGGCGCAGACGAGCCGCAGCACGACGCTGCTCTGGTCATTGAGGACGCCGTAATCGCCTGGGTGGGCCCTAGCGGCGCCGTCCCCGGGCGATACACGGCGCACACCCCTCCGGCGCGCATCTTCCGCGTGCCGGTCGCCATGCCGGGTCTGTGGGACGTGCATGTGCACTTTGAAGGCGAGCCGACCGACGGAGACACCGGTGACGAGAACATCGCCCGGATCGCCACGCACCCAGCCGTCACCGGCGCGCAGCTGGCACGGGGCTGCTGGGAGGCGCTGCAGCGCGGGTACACGTCGATGCGTGACCTGGCCGGCTACGGGTGCGAGCTGGCCCGAGCGATCGGGCAGGCGCCCGGCCCCGGCGGCATCGTGGGGCCCAACATCTACAGCGCGGGCGCGTGCCTCAGCCAGACGGGCGGTCACGGCGACATCTTCCAGCTCCCCGCTGGCGACGCGCTATTGAACCTGGGCGTGGCGGCGGGCGTCGTGCGGCCGGGGACGAGTCTCGGAGGCGGCAGCTCGGTGCTCGCCGACGGCGCCGACGAGTGCCGGCGTGCAGTGAGGCTACAGATCCGCCGCGGGGCGCGGTGCATCAAGATCATGGCGTCGGGCGGGGTCGGGTCGCGCGACGACGACGTGACCTGTGCGCAGTTCAGCCCGCAGGAGCTACGCGCCATCGTGGACGAGGCCAGCAGGCAGAACCTCAGCTGCGCGGCGCACGTGCACAGCAAGGCCGGCATCGTCAACGCAGTGAGCGCGGGCGTGCGGTCCGTCGAGCACGTCAGCTTTGCGGACCGCGAGTGCGTCGAGCTGATTAAAGAGAAAGAGGTCGTCTGGGTCGCGACGCGCACGGTCAACGAGATCCTGAAGCAGACGCGGGGCCGGGGCCTGCCGCGGAGCGTGTGGGAAAAGGCCAAGATGGTGTCGGGCGCGAGCCTCGCGGCGTACAAGATGGCCATTGCTGACGGAGGGGTAACGTTCGCCCTCGGCACCGACACGGCGCCCGGGTTCAACATGGCCGTTGAGCTCGGCTACGCGGTCGAGGCAGGCATGACGAATCTCGAGGCCATCCGCGCCGCGACGGCCAACGGCCCGCTCACGCTGGGCGCAAAGGCGCCGCTCTCCGGCCAGCTCAGGGTCGGGTACGATGCGGACGTCCTCGGCGTGCTGGCGAACCCGGCCGAGGACGTCGGGGTGCTCACCAAGAAGGATAACATCAAATGGGTCTGGAAGGGCGGGAGGCTGTACAAGGGGCCCGGCATCGGGCCGTGGGGGGAGGAGGACTGAGACGTCCGCCGGGTTTGCGGTTGGGCAACTATGCGTAATGAGTTAGATCTTGGCTCTTACGGAGGAAGCATTATCTACCGTGAAACATACAAAATAGGGGGCTTCTGCAGGGAATGTCTGAATATCCGCTCACCTTGGTCGTAATCTCCGTGAATATTCAGCATTACACGGAAGAAGTCGTTTTGTCTCGCTCGACAGCAGACTTCTTCTGGACATAGATAAAAATGTACTAACGTAAGTAGGAAATGCGATTTTGCGCCTTGTGCCGTGTTGCAAAACTCGAGAGCATGAAACCCACACACTACCGCCGATAGCATCATTGAAAGACGCGACCAAAAATAACGTAGACGGACTTGAACTTCATACAGCTTGGTCAGATGACGTATGGCTAGGTTCCCACGTGAAGGCTTGCGTGTGTAAACACGCAAGGGCCCCGTGGGACGTAGCTCTCTTTTTTTCCTTGGGCGTACCTGCTTCCGGGAATTCCGACTTTCGAATTTATTCAGCAAACAAAAAGTTGAAATTTCAAGCGTTTGAAAAAGAGAAAGAAAAAGACAAAGAGCCATCTACCTGATACATGATAAAAACATTTTGAAGACAGAGAACGGATAAAATGGTAAAACACTAATTAATGGAGTAAATACAGCCAATTCAACTATTAGAGGATACCTCCAGCTTTCTCACTAGGGCTTTGGTTTCAACCATGCTCCATTTAAGAACGTAGCTGAAGCTGGTAGCCCTCTCAAGACGTAAGTGAACCAATGAAAAAAATATAAAAACATAAGAACCAAACGACTCACCCAAGAACAAGGATCAAGATGGCCGTAAAGAATCGACCGTCAAAGATAGACAGAGGCATGGGGATTCACCGTGCAATGTTTGCAACCCGCACGTGTGCGCATGCATGGTAGGCTCGGCAGCCAGAGCCGGAAACCAGGGGGAGCCTCGGCAACGATGAACCACATGACACTAGTCATCAGGCTGTGCTGTGTGTGCCGCTATATGCTTTGCACGCGCGCCAAGATAGTAGTACCGGCCGATAGGTACGGGAGAATGGCATTCATGAGTTGTTGACATCGGAGTCGACCCGGAAAATACACCTACCTAGGCTTGTGTGGAGGTGGCTGTGCAGGAAACATCTGCGCCCCTCCCCTTCCCCTTCTCTCCCCCACCTCACTTTGCGTGGAATTTTTCTAGAAGACCATGCTAAGATGCTTGGCGGAACTGGGGTGCAGGAGAGAGAGAGAGGCTTGAACTGGAACTATCTTGCAGGGCCATGTCCGATCTCCGGGGTGATAAAGCTCAGGCAACGAACGGGATTTGCGCCTCGTCTCACCTATCCGAAACGAGAGAGTCACTGTGTCCGTGCCCGCGTGCGTGTGGTAAGCATTGTGGCCGTGAGACCCGAGTGCCCATGCGACATTTCACATGCAAAAAGACCCAAGATCCAATTCCGCGGGGCAGTCCGCCAAGGTCGATCACCAGCTTCAAGTCCACTGCATCTTGATCCGCATGACCACAAAGAGAGAGAGACAGAGCTCAGGCAGTGAATTAATCGATGCTAGTTGGCCAAGTTGCGGGCATCACATGACGACTTTCTCCCCACTCTCTCTCTCCATGCGCAAGCGTTCCTGGAGCGAAGGGAAAGAGCAAGAGCCTCACAAGCGTTTCCTGCGCCCCTGCGCCGGGGATGACGCCGCCCTGCCGATCCAGGTGGGTGGGCTTCGGACACGCCGTGTGCCGGGTGTGCTGTGAAAAGTGGAACCTTCCGGACCGGTGTGGGGCACGTCAGAGCCGCTGTGCCGGATCAATCTACCCATGTGACGCCCCCTTGGGCCCTTATCTTTCATCACGTCGTCCCGTGACCAGGCGGAAACTGGGGTCTTGGTGTTGGGTGAGCTGGCAAGCTGGCTGCCCGTCTGCCTGTCGCTCTGCACCTATCGTCGGTCGTTGAGAGTGGAAGCAAGACCTCGACAGCCAAAAAGCAGGAGAGAGCGCAATGGTGCTCTCAGGATTTTGTCCCCGCCCCGCCCATCGGTGAACGGAACCAGAAGTCGAAGCTGTACCGTTTCGCTGGCCGGACTGCCAGGGCACCAGTAAGGTAGCTAGTAGTTATCGACAGAGAGACCGACAGCCAACAGAAGCCGAGGAGCCGCAGGCCGCGTGCGTGGCGGCGCGTGTGACTCACTGGGACCCGGGAGCTTCTCACAACCAATAATTGACTTTCAGGGTGGTTCTTTGAGCTTTTGCCTTGTAGCACAAACGGCAAGTTCGGCACCAGGCAGATGACGCGTCGCAGGCAGGCAGGGGGCCCCGCTCCCCACAGGTCGAGAACGTGGCCTTGTGATTGGCCGTGGCGCATGGGCCATCGCTATTTCTGGAAGGGTTCTCTCTCTCTCTGTCTCTCTCTCGCTCGGGTGCTAGCGTATCATGTGCTGAGAGGAGAGAGGTCGTGCTCTGATGAACAAAGAAGAGATGCCCCTTGCTTGTGCGTCGATCACTTCTGCACGCTGGGTCGTTGCTGCGTCTTCTCCAGCTCGTGACCGCCCACCGCTGCCACGTCTTCTGCCGTTCCTGCTTGTGTGAAAACCCTGGTGCTAAAAGGACATTCAGTCGAGCCTCGTCGTCGCGCGGCTGTCTGCCAGAGACAAGAGACTTTGCTCAATGCCAAGAATGATATACTTTGGTCAAGCCTCGCGGGGGGTGGAAACCACCCATACGGGAACCGGCTTAGTAGCGTGATCAAGAGTAACACTACTGTGCTTTCTACGGCAGCAAACTGCCGCGCACTCGTAGGGCTGTGGCCAAGGCGCATCGTCATAATACCCTTGCCAAGAACCCCATGATTCGCCGGGGCGCGTCTGTAGCAAGTTGTCTTCGACAACCCCCTGTTGGCCCCCCGAATATGTATCTTGCCATGGACACGTAATGCACACAGCTGGGAGAAGAAAGGCG